TTTGAACTTTGTAGGCTCCAATATTGCACCAGTTATAATATTAAATATTTTAATGAATCTTAACACTAGGTTTACGGAGCGCGTCAATTTGACGCACATTGAATTTTGTAAACACCCTTTGGTAAATGTTTCATTATCTATTTTTAAATTTACAATTTTCAAAATCTAAATAGTGTATAATAGTGTATACTGAATACTATAAAAATTAGTTGCAGTTGATAGATTACGAAACAACCTGGAGTGCTAAGGGTTAATAGTGGAATATTGATGACTAGTAGTAGATAAATATACTATTTTTCCTTTATTTTCTTTGTAAAGAATGATCGAATATTTGCATTTCGAAATTTTGGAATCTTTGGATCATAGGATCCTCGAAGATTTCTTCAGTTGCTGATAGATTACAAAGCAACCTGGAGTGCTAAGGGTTAATAGTGGAATATTGATGACTAGCAGTAGATTAATATACTATTTTTCCTTTATTTTCTCTGTAAACAATGATCGAATGTAGCATTTCGAAATTTCGCAAAACAAAAGAACCTGTAGTGCTAAGGGTTAAAACATGTCCACATGTTAACATTTATCCAACCAAACGGCAAGATCCCACTTTCAGCATATTGCCTTCTATTGTTTATCTTTTCTTTCACTGTTCAGTAATTGCACTGGCATTATTAGCAATTCATCAGATACGGTTCTTTTTACAAAGCTTAGTTCCTAACGGAATTAATTGACTGAGTTCAACTGCAGGTAATGGTTGTAGTTCCAGTTGTTTTTAGGCGGTCGCCTAAGCGTTAAGCACCACTGTCCTAAGTCTCTGGGTCTAGAACCCAACGGGGTCCAGCTGCGCTGCCCGCCGAACCGTGATTTGTGTTCTCCTCGATTCCCGAGCGATCGGGCCTATAAGAAACTGTGTATAATCGCTGCAACGGGCTCCGCGCGATAACCGTCACGGATCGAGGGAGCCGCGCCGGTGTTTAATTGGCCTCGAGACGTCCAATAAATCCTCTTCGGTGCCCTCCGAGCTGATTATCAGAGATTTATTCTAGAAAAATGATAAGCGAACGCACCGTAGAAACGATACCCCGCCGCGGACAAAGTCAATTATAACACACAGCCGCGGCGATATTCAATTTTTCTCCTATCTCCCTCCAACCAGCGGCTCGAGCGATCGTCGGCCGCGCTCCGCGTTCATATTTATAGCCGTGCGTGGCGTTGATTGCCGATTGAACCCGCGGATCGTTATCGAATAAGGGAGTGCTGTTAAACTGGCCGTCTAGACGCGTCCACGGGCCGAGTTATCGTTCGAGGTTTCGATTTCGGTGCGCGCGCCGCTAGGAGACTCGGGCTTGTTCCTCCGATCGAGATATCTTTGCCGGTTACGTCGGTCCTGTAATGCAATTAACGAGACGCGTGGCTAAGAGAGATCTTCTGCTAGAGGCACGCTCTGCTGGAGATCGAAGATCTGATTCATTGAGCTCCGCGCAGAGTCTCGGTATTACTTTCTTCAATATCAAACACGAGTTCCTCATTCAATTAATCTTGGAGGTCAGTCGTCTTTTCTATAAATCGAAGGAACCTCGAGAGTCGCGTTATCATCAACTTTCGAATTACGTTGTATTAGCTACTTCCTAATCCAAGGAAAAATCTTTCCGCCATAACAAAGGGAGGAATACGATTTAATGCAATTCTACAGAGGAATAAACTGCAGCGCTTCGAGACGTCGAAGAGAGCGTAATTAATCGCTACGATTAGCGAACGGTTTGAATAATAAGTAGCAACGAGGTTGTCTCCTCCTTCTCGTCCCTCGGGTCGTCGAGCCTAGCCGTGTAGGCGATCCGCTGCTCGGAGATATCGCCGAGCTAATCCTCCTCGTTTCTTTGCCACCTTCTTCATCTTCTTCCTCGTCTCTGTCCGTCGTTTTTGCCCCGGCCGCCGCAGACTCCCTTTCTTTTTCAGCTGGCCGGCCGCGGACCGACCGGCTGCGAGAGGGAAGGGCGAACAGGCTGGCAGGCTGGCAGGCAGTGACTCATCCTTCTGGTTCGTCGTACCTCTCGCGAGTTTCGTGATAGGCCGCCATGGAAAACCGGCTCCGAGTCACTGAATTATCCGCCTCGCGTCCTCGTTCTCCCTTCATCTTTTAGGAGGTCGCTCCGTCCTCTGTGCCCGCTTCAGGGCTGATCGGGTCCTGCCTTCTGCGACCGTGTCCTCATCCCTACCCCCGTCGCGTCGCCAGAGATCTTGCGGAACACGCGATCGTTGTCTCCTCTGATTTCGCGCGAAGGGTTACGAGTCTAGGAGTTGCGTATGCGTAGGTGGGTGGTGGTTGATTTGTTGAGTTTGACTGTTTTTCAGGGTGCTTCGGCGAGTGGAGAGCTGTTGCTAGTAGGGTGTTTCTGGGGAGAGCGATTGCTTTCGGTCCCTTTGCGAATTAAGGGCGTGACTTCGGTTTCTTTGGACATCCGAGCAGCTGATTTCGGTTTTTTGTAAGGAAACGTGATTAAGCTTGGTTTATTTGTAACTCGAAGCGACCAGTTTTGGTGGGTTTGCAAGTCTAAGCGATTGATTTTGGTTCCCTCGCGAATTTAGGAATCGATTTTCGTTTCTTT